TTAAAAGTCAACTGAAGAAGTCAAGCTTGATTCTAATCAAATTTGCTTAATTATGCTTAGCTTTCAGCATCTCCCAGGAGAGAAGAGAGAGAACTGAACTTCACTTTTGTCTTTGGAAACTCCTGCTCTATCTCCTGCTGAGACGGCTTTTTACCAGCAAATAGAAATTTAAAATGTCAGGACTCTCTTTTATTTCACTAAAAGACATGGAGAGGGGGAATTGCCACCTATTGGAGGAAAAAGTCTATGCCACGGGTCTGAAACCTGCGGCCCGCGGGCCAGATGTGGCCTAAGATCCAGTTTATAGCGGCAAATTGATTTACACACATAGTATCAGAAGTGTACTTCGATGTCAAATGAGCACCATGCAGCCAGTACTAAACCTCAAATAGGAAGACAAATTCCGCCCAAAACATATTTGAAAAGCTGTAGGTCACTGTGTGATGCCTCTCTGTTGCTGCTGAAGAATGGTATAGTGACCATAGAAATAGAATGACTAGAACTGACATTCCCCCATTCTATTGCTGTGATAGATAATTATATTTCAATGGTGGTGACATCCTGTTTCTGGTAGTCTGTGTGCTGTCTGTACCACTCTACCCTGCAGGGGTAGATACTCAGGACAACCACATCAGACTGATGAGGCATAAATACCACTCTATCCATTCTCATTAAGTAAATAACAACATATTTAATGCTTCATCTCTGTCAAGAAGCCCCTCTCACCCCCTCCCTGGGGCCTCGGGTCAGTGGGTGACCGCATGAGTGTGGAGGAAGAGTGAGAGAAAGAGAGAGAGAGTGAGAGAGAGGTAGTAAAGAGAGAGACAGAGACAGAGAGAAAGAGAGAGAGATTTTGAAATACTACAATCACTGTCCCAACCACTCCCAGCCATAATCCTAACAGACAAGCCTTTCCGTTAGGAGCTGAATCAGCCATTATGATCCAAATCAACACAGAGTTCCAGAATGCTCCTGTGTCATCGATGATAATGGAAATTGATTATGCGTATGGAAATGAGCTGTAGTCCGCGGCAACGTGACCTTCAGCGGCACTAATTGAAACAAGTGTGGCGCCTCAGCGTCAGTTATCAGGCTTAACAGCACACCATAAATCATCATGAAGACCCCTGTCACAACATGACCCATTAGAACGGATGTGTTGTTTTTCTCTCCCTATATCAGACCAGACTGGGAGAGATGAACATGTCCGTTAGTATGAGGTAGTAGAGGACTGTGAGATATAGAGAGATTGACAATAGGTAAAGAGGAGAAGAGACAAAGAAGGAGAATGAGCTTAAATATCACACTCAGCTTGCGCATCAACTCCGTTACTATTAGATCATCCAGTATAGCCTTTAAAGTGGTGTATGCTTGAATAGCTTAGCCGCCCGTACCTCCCGTACTACATTGGCGCTCGCTATTTCCGCTACCAGACTACTTCTCAGGCCCCTCCATCTCCTCGGGTTGTCTCCTCCCTATCTGGGTTTTCGTGTTAGATCGATTGGGTTAGTTAGTAAGATGGAAATTTTCATATTGTGAATAGATTTGAAGTATTAACTAGAGTTGACGAGGATTTTGACATTTTCGTACTCAGACATCTATAGTGTTTATCGAGGATTTTTTTTTATTGAGTGTATAGGTCTGGATTTATGTTCAAGTTCGGCGTTACTTATTCTATTTCTCTTTGCTTTTTTTTTTTTCTTTTGTTCTTTTCTCTCTCTTTCGCCCCCCTCCCTCTGTCTCGCTCTCTCTCTCCGCTTCTCCTAGCTCTTCGCCTCTCTCCTCTCTCCTCCTGCTCCTCTCTCTCTCTCTCTCTCTCTCTCTCTCTTCTCTCTCCCTCCCTCCCTCCTCCCTCTCTCTCTCTCGTCTTCCCTCCTCTTCTTTTTTTCGTTCCTTTATTCTTGTTTTAGTTAGAGTTAGAGGTGAGGAGGCAACAAACGGTGCCAGTGGCACAGAACAGAACAGGTTGAATGAAAAGGAGAGATTAATGAGCCAAATACACTTGATCTTGCTAGCCTCATTTCTGTGTCGAAAGTAGGCTACTTGTTTTTCTTAGTTGAGTTGACTCAATTTTACCTTGTGCATCCAACTGGAAAACAAACTGTGTTGAGTGAGTGAGATAAAATAGCCTACACTCTTAGAAAAAAAGGTGCTATCTAGAACCTAAAAGGGTTCTTCAGCTGTCCCCATAGGAGAACCCTTTGAAAAACCTGTTTTGGTTCCAGGTAGAACCCTTTCCACAGAGGGTGCTAAATGAAACCCAAAAGGGTTCTACCTGGAACCCAAAAGGGTTCTCCTGTGGGGACAGCCTAAGAACCCTTTTGGAACCCTTTTTTCTAAGAGTGAACATATCAAGTCAACTGACAGAGAGGCAAAGTTAGGTGTAGTAAGTAGATTGTAGATGTTCCTAGTGAAGAAGTAGCTCACTGGTCAGTGCAAAACAGGAGTAAACCGTAAATAAGGGTCAAATTAAGTATGAGAGGTCAATAGAATAGCCACATGAAGAGTAATTGAAAAAGTATAAAGTCAATCTCATTGTGGAAGATTGAATTAACATAAATTGTTTACTACTAGAGGTTATTATTTAGAATACATTTATGAACCAAACAATATGAAATAGCCACTGATTAAGAGCAGATGTTGTCCACCTGTTAAACACAGGACGCTAGTAGTGCAATTCACTGCGTCAATGAGTCGTTCCAATAATCTAATCAAGGGGAATATAATATATATAATCATATCCATCATTACATAGTTGAACACACAAAATTCCAATTTAATAAAGGATATTTCATTATAAGTGTAAAAACACAAGGGAGTTTACCCGTCGAGGCCTCTGTGAAGGTTGATGCTATCACTGATCACTGGCCTCATGGATTGTTATTCAATTAACAACACTCCAATGAACACAATGAATGCAGGAATAATAGAGGAGCTATATGTTAAGCATCTAGGTCGATAGAGGAATACTTCATTATAAATCAAACCTAACCATGTTGGAACCTGTCCAAAAACAACAAAGTCACTAAAAGACGTTGTGAAGTTGTCAAACATATTCTAATCCATATTCATCCATTCTCTTCTCTAATGATCTTTAACGATGCTCTAAATTGTTTATTATCCAATATCCTAGTTATGAATTTTAAAGAAATTAAACAAGCAGAAGAGTTTACACTGTTATTAATCAGTATTTGTATTGGCAAGGTCAACGTTAAACAAAAAAACAGTTCCTGAAAAGAATGCTGGATGTTTAGCTTGATCTAGACGTGGCTCCTCAGACATCCACTAGACTAGACGCAACATATGGATCTACCTACTGGGTTCTGAAAGTAGTAAAAAAGGCAGAAACATTTGTATTAAAAGTGTAAAAACATTCTACATTATAGTAAGGTAAAGGAATAGCTGGTTAGATATTTTCAGGTATGGTGACGATGTTGAAAGTGGTATTGTTTTTATTCAAGACGGTAGCCTAATACACAGTAGAATTCACAGCCATTGGAGTACTATGTGAAGGAGTATAAGTGCATCTTCGTTGCCATGGTGAAACACTAATGAAATCTTTCCAGCAGTCATATTAAAGGCAACAGATGCATTAAGGCAGACATAATAATTCATCTGCAGAGCAATTAGTGGGACTGTCAGAGCTAGCGCTGCCTGTTGAAAATAACCAACCCCATTGTCATTAATTAAAGCATTTAATGTTCCACACGATCAGTCATGTCTTAAGAGTATAAACACATTAAATGCACTGAATGTCATTGATGTAAGTCTACATTTCAATTTACAGTTAAATTAATAACATGAAATAGCCTAAACACAGATATTCAATTCAATAACCACAAAGAGAAGACGTGTGGATTTGCAGGGAAAAGCATTTTGAGGTTGTGCTGATCTTTGACGCCCCTGATCTCAGTAGCTATGATTTGTGTAATCAATCCTGAACCCCAGATTCATCATTTCACAGAAGAAGACAACACGATAAGACATCTGGTGCTTACAAAGGGCAAAAGAAGAAGAAGAAGAACAGTGTATCCAGATAAAAACAGGGAGATCAAACACACTGAACACAAAGCCTGCCATTCAAAGCCTCTGTCTGTGCTGCCTCTCTATCTGTTGAGGGGCTCAGACGTTACGAGGGGAAGACATAAATGCTGACACAGAAACATCCCGCTCTGCGTCTGAGGAGGGTCTTAAGCTGTCAGAGGGTGCTTAGGAGAGCGCTAGTCTGGATAAAGAAACCATGCACTGTGCATTATCGCTTCAGGCTTCTGGAGGGAGGAGGGAACCTGCCAATGATAGTGTGTGTGTGTGTGTGTGTGTGTGTGTAGAAGTCCTCTTGTCTGATGAGGTTCATCTCAGTATGAATGAGTAATGTGTCCACTGTGCATTTTTCTCTTCTTCACAGGAACAACTGTCAAGGAGATGGCAACGGTTTGATCTTTATGCAGATAGTGGAGAAATGCTAGCTTCTGTTCAATACCCGCTGACATGTCTTTGGGAGGGTGAGTACAGGGAGTTGGTGATCAAAGAACATGTCAAGCCAAGCGTCAGAGTGTTTTTGTTGACTATGTTCAATAATAGAGGCCACTCAAAACCTTTCTTTGATCACTTGCTGCTGACTAGGACAGTATCCACCAAATGGATTAAATGAAATGAGGGCCAGTGAAGAAATACAATTACTTAAGTGATGCATTTGAATGCATGTTTTGTTATTGTGGCAATTACCTGTATAACCAGCTACAATAACGAGAGCCTTTACTGACCATTGATAGTGAAATACCGACCTCATGTGTCAATTTCCATTCAGTGCATCTCGAGATTTGCGTGTCTAAAACAACAATCTCGAGAGTTTTTGGACGAACTCGACCACCGTACTCGATACCCTTTCCCCTCTATTTCCCTACGACGAGTTTTTTTTCTTTCTAACTTTTAGCTAAATTTGTATCTTCAATTTTCAGTTCCTTTGCATAGACAGTCATTCTATCTTTTCGTTTTCCATCATGTTCACGACCACCGGTTCCCGAGGGCTCGGTAAGTACCAAACTAGTTGATTCGTGTCCGAGTGCTTTCGCTCGGTCCTTTCTCGCAGCTTTGCACTGTCATTCATTCTAGATTAATCTAACTATTTGGACGGATCACATCGACGATTCGAGCCTATACCATTTTTGTCATAATGTCTAATATTGCATGATATCTCTAGATACTTGTTTCATTTCATAAACGACGCTCAATGCTGGCTCAGTACTATAGTGACAGAAAGGTGCATGCGGTTGCCCCGCCCACATTTCCCATACAATATTCCCATACAGTAGCTACCAGGAACAAGGACTCTGTGCTGTAAGTTCTGATAGAGTATCAAATTGATTGTGCCCTACAGGTAGGTTGTTGATTGATTGGTTGCCTCCCCCCACAGATAAGGCCCCCCTGTCTAAAGGTCTCCTCCTGGTCCTCAGTGGTCTGACTGTCGTGCTAACCCTCCTGCCCCAGTACCATCACCTGTTCACCTACAGCCTACAGGCCATCACGCAGCAGCAACAGGTAGGGGAAGAGAGAGAGTGTGTGTCGTAATCCTCTTCTATCTCCTTTTGTGGGTATCAAATTGCCAAAGACGGTACAGTATGAAGATAGGCAGAAACTGCTTCTCCAATAGAAATCCCCGATCACGCTTGTAGGCGACGTTGGCTAGCTAAACTCATGCCCAGAAACACGTAATCGGCGCGACACGGCCATTAAAAGCCGAACTGCGCAAATTCAGGTCGTCAACTCAAAGGCACTCCTTCGATATAAAGTTGTTTTTGATTAAAATTATAACTTGTCAGTTTGTCACTTTCACGAGGTTGTAGTAATGACAGTTTCAGCTACTTGAGACGTTGGCTCGAATCTCGGTTTTGCGTTTAGATTTCTAGAAAATGAACAACTAAGGACACATTTTTAGGTCTGGTCTGCCAAGTCTGTTTCGCAAGCGTCCCCGGAAGTTTCGTTATGTTGCTCATCTGGGTTTAGAAACTCTGAGATGTTGCTCTCCTTCTGTGTGTGTACTGTGTAACAACCCTTTCTCCTCCTCTATAAGGTATGGCGGTTAGTGTGTGGCAGACTGATCTGTCTGGACCTAAAGGACACCTTCTGCAACAGTCTGCTAATCTACAACTTTCGCATCTTCGAGAGACGGTTTGGCAGCAGAAAGTTTGCTGTAAATTCAGTTCAACCTACCTTGTAAACCTATGTCAGACTCACTGGGCGTGTTCCAGGTGGTCTTTATTGCAGGCGTGCTGCACAGATTATCAGTTGTTTCATCAGATTATCATGATGATGATATGATTTTATGTTATGATGATGTCATTGTTTCATACTATAACATCCTGGTTCTTCCTGTAGTCCTAACTGTAACATCCTGGTTCTTCCTGTAGTCCTAACTGTAACATCCTGGTTCTTCCTGTAGTCCTAACTGTAACATCCTGATTCTTCCTGTAGTCCTAACTGTAACATCCTGGTTCTTCCTGTAGTCCTAACTGTAACATCCTGGTTCTTCCTGTAGTCCTAACTGTAATATCCTGGTTCTTCCTGTAGTCCTTACTGTAATATCCTGGTTCTTCCTGTAGTCCTAATTGTAACATCCTGGTTCTTCCTGTAGTCCTTCCTGTTTGGGACGTGGGTCCTCACTGCACTGATGGACTTCCTGCTAGCCGAAGCATTTCACTACCTGTTTGACTACCAGGTGGCTGAGCTGCCTGCCGGACTGTGAGTACCTCTATCTTCACACATGTTTTTCACAACTGTATTTCACACCTGTCCTTAACACCTGTCTTTCACACCTGAGCTCAAGCCCAAAATCAACCCCTTACTCCTATGCACTTATTTCCTTGAAGTGTGAACTTGTTCATTGAAGGTGTAACTTTGTGTTAACACCACTAGAGAGCAGAGATCAATGAGGGGGTCAATGTGCTGCAGCTACTTACAAACAAGCTATAGGCCTACATCCTGTATGAAAACAACATCACACTTTGAAAAACCAGGAAGTACTGGAACTTGTTGGCCTTTTACCTTTTATGGAAGTGAGATGTTTGTGTCGTTAGTTTCACACCTGGCAAACCTAGGCCTACATCAGACCTAGGTGAAATAAAACAGTCACACTGAAATATAATGGTTTAATTATAATATAATAATAATATGCCATTTAGCAGACGCTTTTATCCAAAGCGACTTACAGTCGTGCGTGCATACATTTTTGTGTATGGGTGGTCCCGGGGATCGAACCCACTACCTTTGCGTTACAAGCGCTGTGCTCTACCAGCTGAGCTACAGAGGACCACAGGGAATTAGCTGAGCTAATTCCACTTCATACAGCAGTTAAAAAGAAAGTATTTGAAGTGAAAACTATTCAAAATGAAAAGCATAAATATCTATACAAAGTTCAATGTGCCGGAAATGTTCAAGATGAATCAGTACAGGTAAGATTGTATCTTTTCACTTGTGCGACAACTGCATATGGCATCCTGCTCCGTAGGCAGCCCTTTTAGTTAACCTTGATGTAACGGCGGTGCTGTCTTTAGGTTGTTTTCTTGTGGTTATGGAACCTTGATTTCCATCTTTCTCACATTAGTTCTGAAAGTGAACAAGGAAGTAAAACGAAAACAAGCATATCTTATTGGACAAGTTATTGTAGTCCCTCCCCGTTTCAGTTCCTTTCTCTTCTGTTTGGTTCCTAGTGAATACAACCCAGGACTAGGAAGTGTGTCTAGACTAGTGGTTCTGTTTGTCTGGCCTAGTAGGGGTCATCTCAAGGTCCAGGACCAGGACAGGCTCTGGGGCTACTCAGCTAGATATGGCTCCTGTCTTTGGGGTAGTTGGTTGGATATGGCTCCTGTCTTTGGGGTAGTTGGTTGGATATAGCTCCTGTCTCAGGGGTTGGTTGGATAACATGCTGACCACACCTCTTGCATTGCGTGCGCGAGAGTTGCAGAATAAATGTACACATACATGTTATTCAATCATTGCACCCACACTGCTCGCGCGCGTCTGCGTATCCAGGCGCTAAAATAGAACTTGGTTCTATTTGTGACGCTTGACGCGCTGCAAGTCCCGCTTCGCCCATCTCCTCATTGGTTTTTAGGAGCATATACCCACGTTATAACCACGTGGGTGATTGAAAGATTAATTAAGGTCCACATTCCAGTCCAGTTGGTGGTGGTAATGCACCTTAAAGTTGGTTGCCAACCGCCATATAAAGTCCAAAGAAGAAGAAGAAGAAGCCTGAAGGAGGAGAGATTACTAGAAACAAACTGGGTTTACCCTTTTATCTGTGGAATAGTTGTTGGAGTAGAGGACCTTGTGCATTTCAGGTAAAATAACAACCCAATGTTTATATACCGGGACAAATTAGCTAGCAACAGCAAGCTAGCTGACTAAATTGCCATAAATGTTTAATGTTTTCAACCTGTCCCCAAATTAATATAGTTGGTTCAGAGTTCGTTTTGATATTTCAACCTGCATGTCCTGATCGCGTCTGGTGTGGGGGGACAAAATCAACATGCACGTCCTGATCGCGTCTGGTGTGGGGGGACAAAATCAACCTGCACGTCCTGATCGCGTCTGGTGTTGGGGGACAAAATCAACCTGCACGTCCTGATCGCGTCTGGTGTGGGGGGACAAAATCAACCTGCACGTCCTGATCGCGTCTGGTGTGGGGGGACAAAATCAACCTGCACGTCCTGATCGCGTCTGGTGTGGGGGGACAAAATCAACCTGCATGTCCTGATCGCGTCTGGTGTTGGGGGACAAAATCAACATGCACCTCCTGATCGCGTCTGGTGTGGGGGGACAAAATCAACCTGCACGTCCTGATCGCGTCTGGTGTTGGGGGACAAAATCAACATGCACCTCCTGATCGCGTCTGGTGTGGGGGGACAAAATCAACATGCATGCACGCGATGGCAGACACACGCACGCGAAAGGTCTGACATGTTAGGCTCCTGTCTCAGGGGCAGTTGGTTGGATATGGCTCCTGTCTCAGGGGCAGTTGGTTGGATATGGCTCCTGTCTCAGGGGCAGTTGGTTGGATATGGCTCCTGTCTCAGGGGCAGTTGGTTGGATATGGCTCCTGTCTCAGGGGCAGTTGGTTGGATATGGCTCCTGTCTCAGGGGCAGTTGGTTGGATATGGCTCCTGTCTTTGTGGTGGTTGGATATGACTTCTGTCTTTGTGGTAGTTGGTTGGATATGGCTCCTGTCTTTGTGGTAGTTGGTTGGATATGGCTCCTGTCTTTGTGGTAGTTGGTTGGATGTGGCTCCTGTCTCAGGGGTAGTTGGTTGGATATGGCTCCTGTCTCAGGAGTAGTTGGTTGGATGTGGCTCCTGTCTTTGTGGTAGTTGGTTGGATGTGGCTCCTGTCTTTGTGGTAGTTGGTTGGATGTGGCTCCTGTCTTTGTGGTAGTTGGTTGGATGTGGCTCCTGTCTTTGTGGTAGTTGGTTGGATGTGGCTCCTGTCTTTGTGGTAGTTGGTTGGATGTGGCTCCTGTCTTTGTGGTAGTTGGTTGGATGTGGCTCCTGTCTTTGTGGTAGTTGGTTGGATGTGGCTCCTGTCTTTGTGGTAGTTGGTTGGATGTGGCACCTGTCTCAGTCTCTGACTCTGGCTCCTGTCTCAGTCTCTGGCCCAGTAATGATATTGGTAGCATCATCTAAAGCAACAGGACTAGCTGTGCGGCTACCCAGCCTCATCCTGCTCCTCCCAACCTGGGTCTCCCCCCGTGTGAAGGAGGTGTCCTCCCCGATTCGGACCACGCTGGAGAAGGAGGCACTGACCTGAACCCTCAACAACTTCAACACCCTCCTCTTGTAGCCCTTACAGGCGAAGAAATAGACAAAGGGGTCCAGGCAGCAGTTGAGGTTCATGAGACACACAGTGAAGTGTAGAGACATCTGGAGGGAGGGGAGGGGGAGGAGGAGGGGAGAGAGAGATTAGTGGAGGTGGAGGAGTCGGTCACACGTGGATTGGAGATGGACAAACTAAAGGAGATGCATTGCACACACGCTTAAATACACAATTTCATGCTCAACACACACACACACACAAAAAGACAGTGATATTAACAGATAGGCCTATGTCTGTGTGTGTGCGCACAACGAAGTGTGTGTCCATGGAGGCTGGTAGGAGGCGCTGTAGGAGGAAGGGCTCATTGTAATGACTGGAATGGAATGAATAGAACACGTCAAACAAATGGAAACCACATGTTTGACTCCGTTCCATTAATTCCATTCCAGCCATTACAATAAGCCCGTCCTCCTATAGCTCCTCCCACCAGCCTCTACTGGTGTGGAGATAACTACCTGAAAGGCCTGAAGCTCAGTGCAATCTGGTGTGTATCTCATCTTTCTGATCATATACTGCAGGATGTTGATGTGATAGGGACTGAAACACACTACAAACACCAACACCACCCCTGCTATCACCCCCATCGCCTTCTGGCTCCTCAATGACCTGTGACCTCGCCCACCGACCCCACTCCTCGCCGCCAACCGCAGCTTCCATAGCAACACCAAGTAGCAACACAGGATGGTCGCAACGGGAACGCCATATCCCATGACGACGGCTCCAATGAGGACGTAGGGGAGTCCCTCCACGGCCCCGTTCTCGAAGTTGGGGTACTCCATGCAGGTGGTGGTCCCATCCGGCTCGGCCCGGGTCATGGTCATGGAGAGGAGTGGTAACGTCTGGACCAGGACTAGAACCCACACCCCTAGGCAGACGTAGCGGACCGTCCGGGCCCGGCAGAGCCTGGTGTAGCGTAGAGGGAGAACCACGGCTACGAAGCGGTCTATGGCCAGGCAGGTCATGAAGTTGACCCCTGCGTAGGTGTTGACGTAGAACAGAAGGGCAGTGACCCGACACAGGGTCTCCCCCAGGGGCCAGTGGAAACCTAGGGGCAGAGGCAGGGAGACTCAAAGATTACCAAGAGAGGTTAGTCCACTTCTGGAACATAACAAGAGGCCAGGGCTACAGGGATCTGGGTGGACCTGTCTCTCAGAAAAAATGTCTGCGTTGACATTATTCACCTAAATTTAAAAACATACAGTGCCTTCAGAAAGTATTCACACCCCTTTTTATTTTCCCCACATTTTTATTGTGTTACAGCCTGAATTCAAAATGGATTAAATTTAGATTTTGTGTCACTGTGGAATTTAGTTTGTAGACATTTTTTGAAATTAATAAAAAATGAAAAGCTGAAATGTCTTGAGTAAATTAGTTTCAACCCCTTTGCTATGGCAACCCTAAATAAGTTCAGGAGTAGAAATGTGCTTAACAAATCGCATAATAAGTTGCATGGACTCCTTCCATGTTCAATAACCAGGTGGCGAATCGCATCTCTGCATGTCTGGCAGACATATCAGACATGGCAGACATATCAGTATGGATGTCGGATCACCACCTCAAGCTGAACCCTGGCAAGACGGAGCTGCTCTTCCTCCCGGGGAAGGACTGCCCGTTCCATGATCTCGCCATCACGGTTGACAACTCCGTTGTGTCCTCCTCCCAGAGTGCGAAGAGCCTTGGCGTGATCCTGGACAACACCCTGTCGTTCTCCGCTAACATCAAGGCGGTGACCCGATCCTGCAGGTTCATGCTCTACAACATTCGGAGAGTACGACCCTGCCTTACACAGGAAGCGGCACAGGTCCTAATCCAGGCACTTGTCATCTCCCGTCTGGATTACTGCAACTCGCTGTTGGCTGGGCTCCCTGCCTGTGCCATTAAACCCCTACAACTCATCCAGAATGCCGCAGCCCGTCTGGTGTTCAACCTTCCCAAGTTCTCTCACGTCACCCCGCTCCTCCGCACACTCCACTGGCTTCCAGTTGAAGCTCGCATCTGTTACAAGACCATGGTGCTTGCCTATGGAGCTGTGAGGGGATCGGCACCTCTGTACCTTCAGGCTCTGATCAGTCCCTACACCCAAACGAGGGCATTGCGTTCATCCACCTCTGGCCTGCTGGCTCCCCTTCCTCTGCGGAAGCATAGTTCCCGCTCAGCCCAGTCAAAACTGTTCGCTGCTCTGGCACCCCAATGGTGGAACAAGCTCCCTCACGACGCCAGGACAGCGGAGTCACTCACCACCTTCCGGAGACATTTGAAACCCCACCTCTTTAAGGAATACCTAGGATAGGATAAAGTAATCCTTCTACTTCTAAAAAAATAAAAAATAAATAAAATAAAAAACATATTGTAAAGTGGTTATCCCACTGGCTATAGGGTGAATGCACCAATTTGTAAGTCGCTCTGGATAAGAGCGTCTGCTAAATGACGTAAATGTAATAATAGTGGTTAACATAATTTTTGAATGACTACCCCATCTCTGTACCCCACACACAATTATTTGTAAGGTCCCTCAATCGAGTAATACATATCAAGCACATATTCAACCACAAAGACCAGGGAAGTTTTTCAATGCCATTGAATATCCCTTTGAGCATGGTGAAGTTATTAATTACATTTTGGATAGTGTATCAATACACCCAGTGTATCAATACACCCAATCACTACAAAGATACAGGCATCCTTCCTAACTCAGTTGCCAGAGAGGAAGGAAACCGCTCAGGGATTTCACCCTGAGGCCAATGGTGATTTAAAAACAGTTAGAGTTGAATGGTTGTGATATGAGAACTGAGGATGGATCAAGAACATTGTAGTTACTCCACATTACAAACCTAAATTACAGATTGAAAAGAAGGAAGCCTGTACATATTACAAATATTCCAAAACATGCATCCTTTTTGCAACAAGGCACTTAAGTAATAATACAAAAAATGTGGCCAAAAATTTAACTTTATGTCCTGAATACAAAGCGTTATGTTTGGGGAAAATCCAACACAACACATCACTGAGTACCACTCTTCATATTTTCAAGCATGGTGGTTGCCCCATCATGTTATGGGTATTCTTGTCATCGGCAAGGACTAGGGAGTATTTTGGGATAAAAAGAAATGGAAGAGCTAAGCACAGGCAAAATCCTAGAGGAAAACTTAGTTCAGTCTGCTTTCCAACAGACACTGGGAGATTAATTCACCTTTCAGCAGGACAATAACCGAAAAGACAAGGCCAAATCTACACTGAAGTTGGTTACCAAGACGACATTGAATGTTCCTGAGTGGCATAGTTACCATTTTGACTTAAATCAGCTTGAAAATCTATGGCAAGACTTGATAATGGCTGTCTATCAATGATCAACAATCAATTTGACAGACCTTGAAGAATTTTAAAAATAATAATCGGCAAATATTGTACAATCCAGGTGTGCAAAGCTCTTAGACTTACCCAGAAAGACTCACAGTTGTAATCGCCACCAAAGGTGATTCTACAAAGTATTGACTCGGGTGTGAATACTTATGCAAATGAGATATTTCTTCATTTTCAATATATTAGCAAACATTTCTACAAACATGTTTTCACTTTGTCATTATGGGGTATTGTGTGTAGATGGGTGGGGAAAAAATATTGAATCCATTTTGAATTCAGGCTGTAACACAAGAAAATGTGGAATAAGTCAAGGGGTGTGAATACTTTCTGCAGGCACTGTATCATTTCTACATACCTTCTATCTGCTTCTAGTTGTTTGTTTAAACTACTTCCAAACTATTTTTAAACGGATGTGGCCCACGGGCCGCCATTTGAGTATCACTGACCTAGGGCGTAGTAGTTGAGTATACTGACAGTATCAGTGACCTAGAGCGTAGTAGTTGAGTATCACTGACAGTATCAGTGACCTAGGGCGTAGTAGTTGAGTATCACTGCCCAGGATCACTGACCTAGAGAGTAGTAGTTGGGGGGGAGTATCATGACAGTATCAGGGACCTAGGGCGTAGTTAGTTGAGTATCACTGACAGTATCACTGACCTAGAGCGTAGTAGTTGATTATCACTGACCTAGAGCGTAGTAGTTGAGTATCACTGACAGTATCAGTGACCTAGGGTAGTAGTTGAGTATCACTGACAGTATCACTGACCTAGAGCGTAGTAGTTGATTATCACTGACCTAGAGCGTAGTAGTTGAGTATCACTGACAGTATCACTGACCTAGGGTGTAGTAGTTGAGTATCACTGACAGTATCACTGACCTAGGGTGTAGTAGTTGAGTATCACTGACAGTATCACTGACCTAGGGTGTAGTAGTTGAGTATCACTGACAGGTAGTAGTTGAGTATCACTGACAGTATCACTGACCTAGGGTGTAGTAGTTGAGTATCACTGACAGTATCACTGACCTAGGGTGTAGTAGTTGAGTATCACTGACAGTATCACTGACCTAGAGCGTAGTAGGTTATCCTCAGCGGCAGGGCCAGGGTGAAGAGGACGTCGGAGGCGGCCAGGTTGGCAGAGTAGAGCGTGGTAGAGTTGATCTGGGCCAGGTTGGGTCTGATGATGTGTAGTGCCAGGGCGTTACCTAGGAGGCCGAGTATAAAGACCAGGGTGTAGTGGAGAGACATGAGGACGCGGGCGACGGGCCGGTGGTCGTACAGGTTGGTGCAGAACAGGGGGGAGGTGGTGTTGGAGTGAAGGTTCAGGGTGGAGTTCACACCCTCAGACCACGACATGATGGTTAGTAACAGGAAGTGTAAAATCTGAAGCACAGCAAATAAGGGTTTGGGTGAAGATAGGCGTACCTCGCAAGATTGAGGACACTTGCAGTAGTTTTAAAATCAACTAACCAAATCAGAACAATGCTCCATTTGTCACACATCATTTGGTCTGTAACACTTATGAACACATGCAATAATTGCAAACCAAAATATACCCACAATTTGTGGGGTAAATTCACTTTCCTGTGAAAAAGATCTACGCTCATACTTGTGTAAACTACATACTGTATAATACTGTATCATACCTGTGTAAACTACATACCGTATCACACTATCATACCTTGTGCCTTGCAAAAGTATTCATCCCCCTTGGTGTTTTTCCTATTTTGTTGCATTACAACCTGTAATTTAAATTGATTTTTATTTGGATTTCATGTAATGGACATACACAAAATAGTCCAAATTGGTGAAGTGAAATAAAAATAATTACTTGTTTAAAAAAATTATAGAAAATAAATAACGGAAAAGTGATGCGTGCATATGTATTCACCCCCTTTGCTATGAAGCCCCTAAATAAGATCTGGTGCAACCAATTACCTTCAGAAGTCACATAATTAGTTAAAGTCCACCTGTGCGCAATCTAAGTGTCACATGACCTGTATATGTCACATGATCTCAGTATATATACACCTGTTCTGAAAGGCCCCAGAGTCTGCAACACCACTAAGCAAGGGGCACCATCAAGCAAGCGGCACCATGAAGACCAAGGAGCTCTCCAAACAGGTCAGGGACAAAGTTGTGGAGAAGTACAGATCAGGGTTGGGTTATAAAAAAATATCCGAAACTTTGAACATCCCACGGAGCACCATTAAATCCATTATTAAAAAATTGAAAGAATATGGCACCACAACAAACCGTCCAAGAGGGGGCCGCCCACCAAAACGCACGGACCAGGCAAGGAGGGCATTAATCAGAGGCAACAAATAGACCAAAGATAACTCTGAAGGAGCTGTAAAGCTCCACAGCGGAGATTGGAGTATCTGTCCATAGGACCACTTTAAGCCGTACACTCCACAGAGCTGGGCTTTACGGAAGAGTGGCCAAAAAAAAGCCATTGCTTAAAGAAAAAAAATAAGCAAACACGTTTGGTGTTCACCAAAAGGCATGTGGGAGACTCCCCAAACATATGGAAGAAGGTACTCTGGTCAGATGAGACAAAAATTGAGCTTTTTGGCCATCAAGGAAAACGCTATGTCTGGCGCAAACCCAACACCTCTCATCACCCTGAGAACACCATCCCCACAGTGAAGCATGGTGGTGGCAGCATCATGCTGTGGGGATGTTATTCATCGGCAGGGACTGGGAAACTGGTCAGAATTGAAGGAATGATGGATGGTGCTAAATACAGGGAAATTCTTGAGGGAAACCTGTTTCAGTCTTCCAGAGATTTGAGACTCGGACGAAGGTTCACCTTCCAACAGGACAATGACCCTAAGCATACTGCTAAAGCAACACTCGAGTGGTTTAAGGGGAAACATTTAAATGTCTTGGAATGGCCTAGTCAAAGCCCAGACCTCAATCCAATTGAGAATCTGTGGTATGACTTAAAGATTGCTGTACACCAGTGAAACCCATCCAACTTGAAGGAGTTGGAGCAGTTTTGCCTTGAAGAATGGGAAAAAGTCTGAGTGGCTAGATGTGCCAAGCTTATAGAGACATACCCCAAGAGACTTGCAGCTGTAATTGCTGCAAAAGGTGTCTCTACAAAGTATTGACTTTGGGGGGGGGGGGGGGGGGGGGGGGGGAATAGTTATGCACGCTCAAGTTTTTTTTGTCTTATTTCTTGTTTGTTTCTATCTATCTCTATCAAACCTCTCTGAGCAGATCTAACATAAAGTCTCTATTTCTGATAGAGACTTAGAGGAAGTAACAGTGAATCCTTATCGACTAGCAGCTAACCTCAGAGCCCTCCCATTACGTTCCCACACACAAGGACACGCACGGTCCCCCACACACACGGTCCCCCATACCTGTGTAAACGACATACTGTATCATACCTGTATAAACGACATACTGTATCATACCTATGTAAACTACATACTGTATTATACTGTACTCACCAGATGGAAGAGCTCTTAATCTTCACTCCTCGGTTATGTTTCAGAAGAGCGGTTGGTCACCTATGCATTGAACAGACTCCAGGACCATGTATGAGGTCAGCCACAGAATTAAACTGAACAAGTATCAGATATATTTCCCTATTGCGTCAGCCACCTCAGTCAGCCACGGCCGACTATGCAGAAGTGTGCAGCTTCTGCCACAGCCAGTACCCAAAGTATACTGTTATCATTTCCTGCACAGCAACCAACCAACCCCTCCCTACATTTACTCTGTGTGTGTGAATAATAGAAACAAGAGGAAAGAGGAGGAAGGGTATTGGCCCCTTCATAACTAGGTTCTGGGAATGACCAGGGACCCCATGGTATGATAGTATCACCATACTTAGGAGCCGATTTAAAATATGTATTGAGATTCTTACGATTCTAAATGTATTATGATTTGATGCTGTGATTTTTTATGCCGAACGATGTTCCAATCATATTTCTCACCATATGTCTGCTGCAGAGGGACAAGAGTGAGCCATGAGAAAACAAGTTTTGATCAGTCATGGAAATAAAAGTACTGAAAACGAATTGGCTCCCTATTGAAAAAGAAGATGGAGAACAAGCTATGAAGGGAAAATACTGGAGTTTTGGTGCAGGTACTGCCAACTAGCACAAAAATTAAATGTAACTGTATTGATGTTTTTACCCCCATCTCTACCGTCATGATCCTCATTCTGACCCTTCAAATGTAGTTCATTAGAAATGAATCTAATCTCTACTTTAATACGAACTGTATTCATATCCTCAGGCTCTCACTATCACTATAAGTGGCGTGTGTGCGTGTGTGTACGGTACTTGAATGTGTTTTAGTGTCAAACATGGCCCGTATCAGATATGGCTCACAGTATCAGATATGGCTCACAGTATCAGATATGGCTCACAGTTTCAGATATGGCTCATCCTGTGATGCTCATCTCCATTCTGTGTGTGTGGGGGACCGTGCGTGTCCTTGTGTGTAGGGGACCGTGTGTGTCCTTGTGTGTGGGGGACCGTGTGTGTTCCTGTGTGTGGGGGACCGTGTGTGTCCTTCTGTGTGGGGGACCGTGTGTGTCCTTGTGTGTGGGGGACCGTGTGTGTTCCTGTGTGTGGGGGACCGTGTGTGTTCCTGTGTGTGGGGGACCGTGTGTGTTCCTGTGTGTGGGGGACCGTGTGTGTCCTTGTGTGTGGGGGACCGTGTGTGTCCTTGTGTGTGGGGGACCGTGCGTGTCCTTGTGTGTGGGGGACCGTGTGTGTTCCTGTGTGTGGGGGACCGTGTGTGTCCTTCTGTGTGGGGGACCGTGTGTGTCCTTGTGTGTGGGGGACCGTGTGTGTCCTTGTGTGTGGGGGACCGTGCGTGTCCGTGTGTGTGGGGGACCGTGTGTGTGGGGGACCATGTGTGTCCGTGTATGGGGGACCGTGCGTGTCCTTGTGTTGGGGGACCGTGTCCTTTGTGTGGGGGACCGTGCGTGTCCTGTGTGTGGGGGCGTGTCCTTGTGTGTGGGGGACCCGTGCGTGTTCCTTGTGTGTGGGGGACCGTGAGTGTTCCTGTGTGTGGGGGACCGTGTTGTCCTTGTGTGTGGGGGACCGTGTGTGTCCTTGTGGGTGGGGGACCGTGCGTGTCCTTGTGTGTGGGGGACCTTGTGTGTGGGGGACCGTGTGTGTGTGGGGGACCGTGTGTGTGGGGGACCGTGCGTGTCCTTGTGTGTGGGGGACCGTGTGTGTGGGGGGACCGTGCGTGTCCTTGTGTGTGGGGGACCGTGCGTGTCCTTGTGTGTGGGGGACCGTGCGTGTCCTTGTGTGTGGGGGACCGTGTGTGTGGGGGGACCGTGCGTGTCCTTGTGTGTGGGGGACCGTGCGTGTCCGTGTGTGTGGGGGACCGTGCGTGTCCTTGTGTGTGGGGGACCGTGCGTGTCCTTGTGTGTGGGGGACCTTGTGTGTCCTTGTGTGTGGGAACGTAATGGGAGGGCTCTGAGGTTAGCTGCTAGTCGTTAAGGATTCACTGTTACTTCCTCTAAGTCTCTTTCAGAAATAGAGACTTTACATTATATCTGCTCAGAGAGGTTTGGTTTATGTGAACAGAACATTGTTTTAACCATCTCTCCCTCTCTCCTCCCCCCTCCAGGCTAGGACCAGTGTTCAGCCTGTTTGTACCTTTCTACTCCTCCATCCCCAAAGTTCCAGTCACTCAACTCCTGGGTCAGATCTCCATAACTAACAAGTCCTTGGTTTACATTGTAGGCCTGCAGGTATGTGGAGCTACATAGTGTTGATCATGGTGGGGGTCCGTGTTAGTCCAGTGGTTAATATGTCTCTGTGTTGTGTTTCAGCTCCTAACCTCCAGTCCATACATGTGGCTCGTTGCTCTTAGTGGACTGGTGAGTTCAAACCACACTGATCCTGTTGCATAGCAACCAGTATTACCCAACCATTATCTCAACCACAATCGCTTCTTCAGAAATCCTAAATACACACGCAACACACGCAACTCCACACATCTGAACCACATAGTGTGTTTGTTGCACTTAGATCTCTGGGAAGCTGTACCACAGTAATGCTCTGAGGGTGCAGCGGCTTCTCTTCCTGCCCCGGTGGCTGTCCCGTGTAGGGGCCTTCCTCCTAGAGCCCCTGTTCTCCGGGCTCCCGCCCCCCAATGACACCCCCCTGGGCATGGGGGCTACGCTGGACATCCAGAGACAGCAGAGAATGGACCTCCATGATCAACAGATGCTGCTGGCCCAGTTCAACCAGGCTAGGAGGAACCACAGACCGCCACAGGTATGGGCTGCAGATGTACACACACACATTACTAGACACACACACACAGCTACATAAAAACACCCTAATAGTTAAGCTGTGGGTGTTCAAGACAACTTGGAAAACAATGACCAGTGTTCATTCGATCGTCCTATTTCTCCTGACTAAATCTATGATGATAACGAGATGCCCCGAAAAATACGATAACTATTACAAATAGACATTCCATTATACATGACCCGCCTTCTGATCTGTTTTGGCCAATCAGAAGCATGCATGCCTTTGCAGAATATTTAATGCAGTCCTCTCATTGGCAGAATGAACGTCCTTCATTTGCGCAGGCTACTTGAGCTCATAGCCCTGCCTGCCTTTCCAACACACACATCTCCCGGCGGTCACTCTCTTTTGAACTGATGTGCAGGCAGGGCTCTTCTAAATTGTAAATGACCTTTATTCTGTACAGAAACAATAATGTTCATATTGGCCATTTTTGCATTGATCACATCCGAAGCTATATTTTGCTCCAACTTCTCCGACCTGAAGATCACTGACATCATGATTTTTCCTTGGCTGAGATCGTTTTTTTTTTGTTGAGTTCCCAGTTGTCTTGAACACACCATGATTGTCCCCTCTCTGTCCTTCCAAGGATGGCCTAATGAACTGGAACAGATTTTTCCCCTCGCTGAGACACAGAGGACAGAACCTTGCCCCAGAGCCACAACCACACCCCTCTCCACAGCAGCCACACCCCTCTTCACCGCTGCAGCCACATCCCTCTCCACAGCAGCCACACCCCACTCCACAGCAGCTCCACCCCACAGCTCCACCACTGCAGCTGGCGCCCACGGCTCCTCCCTTGGACAACACTCCTGTAGCCGAAGAACAGGTGAGCACTGTGTGTGTGTGTGTTTCTGCTCTTCTTTACCAGTTTCGTGTTAGCATTTCTCTGACGTTCCTGTGTGTTTATTTCTGTTTCCCTAGGTTGCCAGATTGATGGAGATGGGTTTCTCCAGAATAGATGCTCAGGATGCCCTCAGAGCGTCCAACAACGACATCAACGTGGCAACCAACTTTCTGCTGCAGCATTTAGGGTAGGGAGGAGTTGGAAAGATGTAGAACCTGAGAGAGGGAAGAGGGGACAGAATGTGGTCTTGGTCCGACCCAGTGAGCAGGGCCCTGGGGTTGGAGGTCAGGGTGACTGTGCTGCTCTGGAGCTCCAGAGGACTACACAGAGATTAACTCAACACAGACTTACACAGTTACTAGGAGGAAAGGAGAGAGGAGGACATTGGAATGCTGCTGCTGCTGTTTTCCACCGTGTTTCCTGAAGGGTGAAGAGGGCTGTCCACAGTGCTTCCTGGTAGTGGGTGCTCAGCCCTGTTCCAGATACTCTGGATACTCTGTCCTGTCACCGTGCTGCTGAGGGACAGAAGATGGAGGATCAGAAGGCTGCTATTCTCAGGGTTTGTTGCATCTAGTGTCTTCTCTATACTCTGGTTCATTAAGGCTTCCTCCACCTCACACACACCATCGCCCAGAAAACATACACGCACACACATGCTCGCCAGTCCCTCAAGGTTTTCTTTTGCGTCATTTGTCCATGGACAGTGATTACAGGAGTTTGTTTGATGACTTCTGCAAACACTCAGAATCAGAATTAATCTGAAGTCTTAAAGGGGTTTGAAATGAGGAGAATATACTAAATGATTTATGGAAACTGTCAATCTTGTATTCTCAATGAAAAACGTGTGCACATGTAATACTGAGTGTATGGCTTGTATGTATAGCTGCTCAGTGGCTACATTCTGGTTAACCACACTGTGGAATAAAATCATGCTGACAAGATATTAATGATGAAAATTACTGTTTCACAAGTTTTTTTTCCACAAAATCATTGAGGACATAACACTTTATTTATTGCATTCTTATTTACTTTTTGGTTTATGTGACTGACTGTATAAACTGAGGTGTGCTTGTTGTTTTGTTAACCTATGCCAGTGTGTGTTATTACGCGACAGATGACAAATTAACAAGATCCGCTTCCAACCACTGAAATATATGCAATGCACTCTGCTCTGCTGTGGTAACAGTGCTGTCCATACAGCGCTACAACAGTATAATGGTTAATGAATAAACCTACCTCTCACCTTCAGACGCTTTTCTGATTTTGTGCTTTATTTCACAGCATTACTCGTATTACATATTAATGCAATTAAATGTACCTTGATGCTTTTGAATGACTGCACTGACGAACATGGCAAATAATAGTTCCAGTTTTGAGAGATCAGTGTTACACCGCCATCTCCAGGTCATTGTTGGAAAAGGCACTTAATGCCAGAGCCTAAATTGTAAGGCGCTCTGCTTTTTGCTATGTTTGATTCTCAGCGGAATGATAAAACATGACAAGGCCGTTTTTATTCTCAACTTGTATCGGACAATATGTCTTATATTCAACACAAAGTGCTATTCTTTCAACAACAGCCGAGACAATTTTACCTCCAGAGTCCCATAATCCTCCACTGAAGAAAACATCCATGTAGACGCAGATGACGTGTCTGCTCTGTCGCTGCAGAAAACGTATCTAGGTTAGATAGATAGCTACGAAGGAAGACCAATACCAGCTAGCTAACGTTAGCTACCTTATGTCAACTGTCCTACCTAGTAAATTCAAATGCCAGCTAACCTGTCACCCCCTGTGTAGACAGATATTAACGTTACTCCAAGAAACGTTTAGCTAACTAGGTTCGTCGAGAGAAGAGGAAAATGTGCGCCCTGCACAGAGCGAGAGGCTCTGTTTTGGTGATCTTCCTTCTGCTACACAGCGCTACAAGTTTCTATCTTCCGGGTCTGGCCCCTGTTAGTTTTTGTGAACCAGGACAAGCTGGGAAAGAGAATGAAGTACCGGACTGTAAGGTAGTTAGATCTAAAATACACAGGGCCTTGTGTTAAGCTTGTAGAATGAAACCGTCGGCGCTATCTTCCTTCTAAATATCAACTGGCCAGCTGGCAAGTAAAGCTAACTACCAGTTAACTTGCTAGCTAGCTGTTAACGTTAGCATTCTGAAACTCCTTGGAAGGGGTCAAAATAGCTTGCTGTTTTAGCTTTCCAGCTTCAACGGTAACCGTCATAATGATGAATAGCTAGGTATTATAATCTAAATGTAGCTAGCTAGTTAGAACCAGTGTTGTTGGCATGGCTAGCCAGCCAACTAGTCACAGTAGCTATCCGTATTGCATATTGGTCGCTAGCTAGCTAATTAGCACCCCCTACGAGCTAGTTGGGCTACTACTTGTGAGACAACTGCTTAACTTGTGTTGTAGATGGCTAATTAGTTAATCCATACTTTTGATCAGAAGTTACTTGTCATTAAAATGTATAAATTTGTCCCAAATTCCATATTATCCTAATCTAAAAGAGAGCTGTCAACTGCATGAGTTGTTCTTTGAGGAAGGCATGCACTAACAGGGCCTGAACAACTAGTAAGAATCAATTCCAGTGCAGAACAGGACATTAAAAAAATCCTGTAAAGTTATGTAGCCCTCCTCCTCCCTCCCGTCTCAGATCTCTAGTCATTAGCCTAGTTGGCCCTGGGGGGAAATGAATGCCTTTGAGAAAAAACAGCTGTAACGTGTGCAGTATTGTAGATGTTGTTGCAGATTTTGTCGTCTACCATTTTGAGAAAATAATAACTGCTTTTGATTGTTTTGCAGTCGACCATCGAGATATTTGTGAACAGATTGGATTCTGTGGAGTCTGTCTTGCCCTATGAATACACTGCGTAAGTACATCAGGAACAACAACGTCTTATCTGTGTCTCAGTCTTGCTGCAGAAGGCTATGGGTTTGGTGCTATTGGACAATGTTCTTATTGTGTAGATGCAGACTTAGTCTATTCCCTATATAGTGCACTACTTTTGACCAGCGTCCTATGGGCCCTGGTCAAAAGTAGTGTACTGTGTAAGGAATAGGGTGCCATTTGGGATACGGACATGGGTTAGGAACATGATGAAGTCAGCCAGGTAGGACTAGGCGCAAAGGTTCACTAGTGGAACTGTCTGATAGACTAGACATGCATGTCATATCAGCATCTCTCTGTCACTCACCATCCTCTCTTGACTCTTTCTACTGCTCGTTCACTTTATAGCAGCTCCAGCGATATCCAATGGAGACTGGCATGTAATGGTCTAGGAATTATGAGGCCCGTAGACGATATTAATACTATATTGCAGTGCTTAACTTGGGCAGGAGCTCACCGGAGCTGTGTACCGGCACCTCAACATTTCTACTGCTTGAGTTCCTGTTCCTCTTATAGAATATTAGCACAAAAAGTATTGTGGAGCTCCTGCACCTAAATACAAACAGTACCAGCACCTATTTCAGTCCAAGTCGAGCACTGCTCTATTGCAGTAGTACTGCTTCAACAAAATGGCTGCCTTATGTTTAAGATTAGCTGAATCATGTTTTGGAGAGATATAGTCAATAGAAGATATAGATATTGGCTTTAGTCAAAGAAACAGACCACCTAAAACCAGTTTCAGGGCTTACTCTGGATCTGAAAACTCCAATGGCATTAAATCAAAGATGGGGTAGATAAACGATAAAACTCCAATGGCATTAAATCGAAGATGGGATACTTTGATAACGATAGCTTCTTAGTGTTGTTGTGTGACATCTGAATTACTTTATTTATCTTTAACCTGAGATAAATGTGATACTAGAGGCCTGAGCATGCTAAGCCACAGGAGCTGTTCTGTCACGCCGTTAGAGGACTTCTAGGTAGTCGACACTAATGGCCCTTTTCCACTGAGGGGTTGTGGAGATGGTCAGGGGACTGTAATTGAAGTGACATCGCAGTGTTAAGTGTGCGTGAGAAATGTGACCTTTTAATGTTAGCTTGCTGTGTGACTGAGAAAAGAGCGAGAGGATGGGTTGTTGTTGAAATAGAATTATGGGTATTAGAGAAAAAGGATCAGCAACGGATGGTTTAAAAATAGGAAGACGATATGCTACAGTCTGTGAACCGGAGTATAAATCATATGTTGTGTTAATGTTTGTGTCTTGTTGTTGTGGGAACTCTCAGGGCATGTTCATCTTGTTATGAGCTGTGTTGGTGTTGCTGAAACAGAACGTTTGTCTTATCCCTGTTTCTCTCCTTGTGTTCCCCAGGTTTGATTTCTGCACTATCGACTCCGAGAAGCGCCCGTCTGAGAATTTGGGTCAGGTTTTGTTCGGCGAGAGAATTGAGCCCTCTCCCTACAAGGTGGGTGATGTACAGTGTGTACACACACACACACACTGTTTAATATCCTGTTGGTATTACATTTCAAATCTCATTACAATGTTCTGCACCTTCATACCTAACCCTGAATGAACAACTCCCCCTTCGCTGTGGTGTGTGCAGTCTGTACCTACATACAAAATCAGGGATGGGCAACTGATGGGGCTGGTGGCCACAAAATAAATCAGAACTCATCATGAGGTGCTGCAGTTGCTCGCAGGTCTGCGTACCCACATCCATACCAACCCCGGATAACAAGTTTAGATAGCTTGCCGCAAAACTAACTTAGCAAACTAAAATATGTTCGCTGACATGGGCTGATTGGCTGACCATCACTGACTGACATAACAAGAGGAAAACTGCTGATGCACAACCAAATTTGAAATTGCACCTTGTGTATTCTACTGTTCTAACTCGTAACAGTAAGTTGAGACCCCGACTGAGTTCCTAAAAACTGATCCGACGACCATCCCTTCCCTGTTCTAAATCATTGTATTGTCTGTGTGTTGAAGCTTGAGTTCATGAAGAAGGAAGAATGTAAGCCGGTGTGTACTAAATCGTACGACACCAACAAGCCAGAAGACAAAGCCCACCTGGACTTTCTGAAGAAAGGCATGCTGCTCAACTACCAGCACCACTGGTAAGATATTCATACTGCTAACTACCAGCACCGCTGGTAAGATATTCATACTGCTAACTACCAGCACCGCTGGTAAGATATTCATACTGCTAACTACCACGCCACTGGTAAGATATTCATACTGCTAACTACCAGCACCACTGGTAAGATATTCATACTGCTAACTACCAGCACCACTGGTAAGATATTCATACTGCTAACTACCACGCCACTGTTAAGATATTCATACTGCTAACTACCACGCCACTGGTAAGATATTCATACTGCTAACTACCACGCCACTGGTAAGATATTCATACTGCTAACTACCACGCCACTGATAAGATATTCATACTGCTAACTACCACGCCACTGGTAAGATATTCATACTGCTAACTACCACGCCACTGGTAAGATATTCATACTGCTAACTACCACGCCACTGGTAAGATATTCATACTGCTAACTACCAGCACCGCTGGTAAGCTATTCATACTGCTAACTACCAGCACCGCTGGTAAGATATTCATACTGCTAACTACCAGCACCACTGGTAAGATTTTCGTACAGCTAACTACCAGAACCACTGGTAAGATTTTCGTACAGCTAACTACCACGCCACTGGTAAGTTAGTCATACTGCTAACTACCAGCACCGCTGGTAAGATATTCATACTGCTAACTACCACACCACTGGTAAGAGACCAATTCTTCGTCTTGTGAAACAGACTCAGATCTCCTTTTCCTCTGAATTGAGATGGGAACACACATTTCCCATAAATGAAGTCTAGAGTTCACAAGATGGGATTGAACCCCGACTTCAGACACCTGCACTGACTCATGTGCCACTAGGTGGCGAGCTTGGCTTGTATTGTCCTCTGACCCCAAGGACACCACTGACCCAATCCCAAAGTTAGGCACTTGTGGAGATCTGAGAGGATGTGATTGGTATAGGCCAGGGGTAGGCAACTAGATTCAGCCACAGACTGATTGTTGTCGGAGAGGATGGTCGGGGGGCCAGAACATAATTATAATAATTTATACACTGCAAATTGACCATAACTAAGCCCAAAAAGAGATTGTATTTGAAAATAAAATCCTGTTTCTACCTCCTCTCCTGTAGGATAGTGGACAACATGCTTTAACCCTGTGTCTACCTCCTCTCCTGTAGGATAGTGGACAACATGCTTTAACCCTGTGTCTACCTCCTCTCCTGTAGGATAGTGGACAACATGCTTTAACCCTGTGTCTACCTCCTCTCCTGTAGGATAGTGGACAACATGCTTTAACCCTGTGTCTACCTCCTCTCCTGTAGGATAGTGGACAACATGCTTTAACCCTGTGTCTACCTCCTCTCCTGTAGGATAGTGGACAACATGCTTTAACCCTGTGTCTACCTCCTCTCCTGTAGGATAGTGGACAACATGCTTTAACCCTGTGTCTACCTCCTCTCCTGTAGGATAGTGGACAGCATGCTTTAACCCTGTGTCTACCTCCTCTCCTGTAGGATAGTGGACAACATGCTTTAACCCTGTGTCTACCTCCTCTCCTGTAGGATAGTGGACAACATGCTTTAACCCTGTGTCTACCTCCTCTCCTGTAGGATAGTGGACAACATGCTTTAACCCTGTGTCTACCTCCTCTCCTGTAGGATAGTGGACAACATGCTTTAACCCTGTGTCTACCTCCTCTCCTGTAGGATAGTGGACAGCATGCTTTAACCCTGTGTCTACCTCCTCTCCTGTAGGATAGTGGACAACATGCTTTAACCCTGTGTCTACCTCCTCTCCTGTAGGATAGTGGACAACATGCTTTAACCCTGTGTCTACCTCCTCTCCTGTAGGATAGTGGACACATGCTTTAACCCTGTGTCTACCTCCTCTCCTGTAGGATAGTGGACAACATGCTTTAAACCCTGTGTCTACCTCCTCTCCTGTAGGATAGTGGACAACATGCTTTAACCCTGTGTCTACCTCCTCTCCTGTAAGATAGTGGACAGCATGCTTTAACCCTGTGTCTACCTCCTCTCCTGTAGGATAGTGGACAGCATGCTTTAACCCTGTGTCTACCTCCTCTCCTGTAGGATAGTGGACAACATGCCAGTGACCTGGTGTTATGATGTGGAGGATGGACAGAAGTTCTGTAACCCAGGGTTCCCCATCGGCTGCTACGTCACAGAGGCCGGACGACCCAAAGACCCTGTGTTGTCAATGTGAGTCAATTCATATCCTGTGTTGTCAATTCATATCCTGTGTTGTCAATGTGAGTCAATTCATATCTTGTGTTGTCAATGTGAGTCAATTCATATCCTGTGTGTGGAGGTCAGGCCTCTGAGTCGGGCAATTTGTTGTCAGTTGAACTTTTTGCTAGATAGACATAACACATTAAAATACTTGTAATAAGACATTATAAAGGCTTATACATGCTTATAACACGTTACAAACAAGTTATAAAGCACATAACTGACTTTTTCCTCTCTCCAGTCTGACTTTAATGTCAAAGACACGTTCTACATCTTCAACCATGTGGACATCACCATCCACTACCATGTGGTGGAGCACGAGGCTGCCGGGGCGAGACTGGTTGCTGCCAAGATGGAGCCCAAGAGGTAGGAGGACAACCGGTCGGTCACTTAGGGGCCAATCTGGCACTTAGTCACGCATTGATGTCAAGTTAGAATTCACCCCTTAGGGTTATCTAGTTCTTATCAAATCATTCTTCATTTCTCAAGTCTCCATAAATTGTTCATTCTTAGCTAATGTGTTTTTCTACTCAAAGTAATGATTTCTCTCTTTAATACATAAAGTATTTATTTATTTTGACTTAACTTATTCAGAGATTTTCATTGTTCCCCTCTCTTCCCCTTCCCTCCTCTCCTCTCTTCCCCCTCCCTCCCTCCTCTCCTCCTCCCCCTCTCCTCTCTTCCTCCTATCCTCCTCCCCCTCTCCTCTCCTCCTCCCCCTCTCCTCTCTTCCTCCCCCTCTCCTCTCTTCCTCCTCCTCCTCCCCCTCTCCTCTCCTCCTCTCCTCCTCCCCCTCTCCTCTCTTCCTCCTCCTCCTCCCTCTCTCCTCTCTTCCTCCTCCTCCTCCCCCTCTCCTCTCTTCCTCCTCCTCCTCCCCCTCTCCTCCTCTCCTCTCCTCTCTTCCTCCTCCTCCTCCCCCTCTCCAAAGCTATAAACACACCAAAGTGGAGGCCCCTGACTGTACAGGAGGCCCCATGTACCTGAACAACAAGTTCAGTGGAGAGCTGAAGATTGGCTACACCTACTCTGTCCAGTTTGTGGTATGTTTCTTAACCCCATGGAAGTGGGAATGCCTCTGTTTGTGTGTGACACCAGGTTCAATCCCTGGTTTCCAACGTGCCATAACGCCGGTTAGCCCACTGAGCTAAAGCCTAGACATAAGAAGCTTGGGGATCTAATGAAAGTCGTCAGGTCTCAGCAGAGGTTAGTCATGCCCTCTGTGCAGACGGTGTAATGTAAATGCTGTGGTTGCATCTGTAGGAGGACAAGCACATCAGATGGGCGTCACGTTGGGACTACATTCTGGAGTCCATGCCCCACACCAACATTCAGTGGTTCAGGTGACACGCACTCACACACACACACACGCGCGCACACACACACACACACACACACACACACACACACACACACCTTCTATCTCTAACCCATTGTGTATTGTCTTGTTCCCCAGCATCATGAACTCTCTGGTGATCGTTCTGTTCCTTTCTGGCATGGTGGCCATGATCATGTTGAGGACTCTACATAAAGACATTGCCAGATACAACCAGATGGACTCTGTGGTGAGTCTGGTGAATCCTCCATAATAATACAGCTGATATATTTAAGTCCCAGTCCACCATGTTGATTTGTGGGAGGTGTCACATATGAGGGCTCTTTCTGTGTGACACTGGCAAGGGTTGTCCAGTGCACACAGACAGACACACACACACACACACACGTCCCTGATGAGGAGTGACAGGGCGGTGGTCTGGTCTCCTTGGTCTACTGATCCGGTACAGACACACACAGACAGAACATGACCCCAACAACTGTAGCTCCAAGCTCTGATTGGCTCTTTGTACTGAGGCCAGCCAGCTGGTGGAGGCTTTGGTTATGACCTTGGAGTGTGTGTGTGACCTTGTGTCCTCTCCTCTATCCATCTCTCCTCTCCTCTATCCATCTCTCCTCTCCTCTATCCATCTCTCCTCTAATCCATCTCTCCTCTCCTCTCCTCTAATCCATCTCTCCTCTCCTCTCCTCTATCCATCTCTCCTCTCCTCTATCCTCTCTCCTCCTCTCCTCTTCCTCTCTCCTCTCCTCTCCTCTCCTCTCCTCTCCCTCTCCTCTCCTCTATCCATCTCTCTCCTCTCCTCTATCCACCTCTCCTCTCCTCTATCCATCTCTCCTCCTCTCCTCTATCCATCCTCTCCTCTCCTCTATCCTCTCTCCTCTCCTCTTCCCTCTCCTCTCCTCTATCCATCTCTCCTCTCCTCTCCTCTATCCATCTCTCCTCTCCTCTATCCACTCCCCTTTCCTCTCTATCCATCTCTCCTCTACCTCTCCTCTATCCATCTCTCCTCTCCTCTATCCATCTCTCCTCTCCTCTCCTCTATCCACCTCTCCTCTCCTCTATCCATCTCTCCTCTCCTCTATCCACCTCTCCTCTCCTCTATCCATCTCTCCTCTCCTCTCCTCTATCCATCTCTCCTCTCCTCTATCCATCTCTCCTCTCCTCTCCTCTATCCACCTCTCCTCTATCCATCTCTCCTCTCCTCTATCCATCTCTCCTCTCCTCTATCCATGTCTTCTCTCCTCTATCCATCTCTCCTCTCCTCTATCCATCTCTCCTCTCCTCTATCCATCTCTCCTCTACCCTCCATTTCTCTATCTCCAGGAAAACTGACAGCAGATGTTCTCTAGGAGGGCTTGTGGGGGTCACTAGGGGTGACATGTATCTATATAACCCCCCCCCCCCAGCACCTCTCACACCCGACCCCCTCCCCTACAACATGTATTGTAGTCCCTGTCTGTCTGTGTCTCCGAGATCAAAGTCATTATTTCAGCAGCTCGGTCCCTTCAGCCCCTCCCCCTAGCGATCACACTCCCATCAGCCCCTCCTCCTAGTGATCAGACTGACAGGTAGCGTCACTGCGGCGACCAGCCTGCTCGTGTTCCAACCCTCTGAAGTCTATCACCGCTAATTGACATGGAGGCCAGTCTCATTTTTTTATTTTATTTTTTTGGAGGGAGCCCACTCCCTCATCTTCTCCCCCCTGTTATTTCCTGCTGGGTTACCCACTCACACCCACTCACACCCTCCATGTCCTCATCATTTGGCCTGAACGTTCTTGCTGTTTGTAAGGGTCTTTTTATAGTGAGAGATGTGGTGATAAAGATCTGTTGTTATTACATACGATAAATACACTTGAAACTGAAACAAACTGAAACTCTTGTCCACCCCTCCTCTCCTCCTCCCTCTCTTCTGGTCCTTTCAGGAGGATGCCCAGGAGGAATTTGGCTGGAAGCTGGTCCATGGAGATGTGTTCCGGCCTCCTAGGAAAGGCATGCTGCTCTCTGTCTTTCTGGGATCAGGAACTCAGATCTTCATCATGATTTTCGTCACTCTCAGTGAGTTCTAGAATCTGGAACACTGTGTTTCTGTCCACCTGTTGAAGACTTGTTGACTGAGTTCTACACCTGTCCAGACCCTTTATTTGGCATTCACCAAAAACAAATTAGCAGGGTAGCATATGGTAGAGAGAAAGTAATTAGTACTTAGTTACTTCTTCCCTGAAAGTAGGACTAGTGTTTTAAGTTGTTTAATGTATTCACTGACAGTCATCTTAGTTATTTAATGTATTAACAGACAGTCATCTTAATTATTGAATGTATTAACTGACAGTCATCTTAGTTATTTAATGTATTTACTGACAGTCATCTTAATTATTTAATCATTCAGTAGCAGCAAAGGACCAACACAATAATAACACACAGTTCAGTCAAAACAAATAGTATGTTGTTTATTTCTAATCCATATACATTGTGTTCCTCTTGTCCAGTCTTTGCCTGCCTGGGCTTCCTGTCCCCGGCTAACCGCGGTGCTCTGATGACGTGTGCCGTGGTGCTCTGGGTCCTACTGGGCACACCAGCTGGCTACGTAGCTGCCCGCTTCTACAAGTGTAAGTGAACATTGGGCCGAGTGGACAGGGTCACGACCCCAACTTGACCCTGAACAGTCGACCAGTCACGACCCATCTGGGCTGGAGGGTAGCTCGTTAGGCCCAATCAGTGTTAGCTGGGAGGGGAGGGGGGGGGTCTGGGGGAGCGATAGTGGTCTCTGTGTCAGTTACTGGTTCAGTGATCTGTAGAGGCATGTAGCAGTAGGGGGTCCCCCCAATCCAACCCCAACCCTCCCTAGCAATACATGCTCTATGGCCTGAATCCCCCCTCCCTGCTGAAGGCTATATGCCTAAACACCTTGGAAGGAAAGGAAGATGTTTGAATTTTCAAGAGACGTCCATTGTTTTGTCTTCCAAGAGTTGCTGAATGTTTCTCTTCCGTCTGCTCTCTCTATGATGTCACAGCCTTTGGGGGTGAGAAATGGAAGACTAACGTCCTGCTGACTTGCTTCCTGTGTCCTGGGTGAGTATGACTTTACATTGGTTGATGAGGTCGACATTAGTTTGTGGTTACGGTCAGGAGTTTTTCCTGATTAAAACAACCTCTGGGCTCTATTTATGGTTTATGTTGATAGTCTTTGATAACCTCCTCCCAGGTTATATCTTCCTCTGTAATCTGTGGTCACGTTGGTTTGCAGCTCTCTGTTCTCCCTCCTCCCAGGGTTGTTAGTTGACTTCTATTGGTCTGTCTCTGTGTTCAGGGTTGTGTTCGCTGATTTCTTTGTGATGAATCTGATCCTGTGGGGAGAGGGCTCCTCTGCAGCCATGCCCTTTGGCACCCTGGTGGCCATCTTGGCACTGTGGTTCTGTATCTCTGTCCCCCTCACCTTCATAGGGGCCTACTTCGGCTTCAAGAAGACCGTGAGTACAAACACACCTCAGTATGTGAATACACTCTGTCACACACACACACAAGTCTGTGTGTATCACATACCTCTCATTCTCCTCCCCTCTCTCGTGTATTTCAGGGGATTGAGCACCCTGTGCGGACCAATCAGATCCCTCGTCAGATCCCGGAGCAGTCGTTCTACACCAAGCCTCTCCCAGGGATCGTCATGGGGGGGATCCTCCCCTTCGGCTGCATCTTCATCCAGCTCTTCTTCATCCTCAACAGCATCTGGTGCGTCTCTCAGCTGAACTACCCTGCAGATGCTTTAGTTCTGTTTTGTGACTGCTACACCAGCAGCTTGTCATGAAGGCAGAATGAGGCCGTGAGGTGAAAGGTGAAAGGGAAGGGGCGAGGTTTGGGGAAGTGTGAACGGGGTTGAGTCACTAACTGACTATGGCTCTGTAGATTGGCTGGTGGTTGGAGTAAAGGAGAGGGCAGTGTGTTTTAAAGGTTGGCTAGTGGTTGGAGTAAAGGAGAGGGCAGTGTGTTTTAAAGGTTGGCTAGTGGTTGGAGTAAAGGAGAGGGCAGTGTGTTTTAAAGGTTGGCTAGTGGTTGGAGTAAAGGAGAGGGCAGTGTGTTTTAAAGGTTGGCTAGTGGTTGGAGTAAAGGAGAGGGCAGTGTGTTTTGAAGGGTTATCTTTATGATGAATGGTTTTGTGTCCCACCAGGTCCCACCAGATGTACTACATGTTTGGTTTCCTGTTTCTGGTGTTCATCATCCTGGTAATCACCTGCTCTGAGGCCACCATCCTCCTCTGCTACTTCCACCTCTGTGCTGAGGTGAGACCACACACACACCATCCTACTCTGCTACTTCCTCCTGTGTGCAGAGGTGAGACCACACACACACACACCATCCTACTCTGATACTTCCTCCTCTGTGCTGAGGTAAGACCATCTGAGTATTTCCTGGTTGGGTCACGTGACCAATGGCAATAGTGCTCTTAATGACGAGGATGAAGGGACTGTTTCTCAAATCATCTTTCCTTGATTCCTCACAGCTTCTCTCCTTGAAAGAGAAGGTCCAAAACAAGGGACCTCGGACCTTCTTCTCCAGTTGAGAAGAAGGGGAGACATAGGATGAAAGGAATAGCAGAAAGTTTAATTAAGGGAGAGCTACGTTTCTTAATTGTCTTATTTCCATCAGGACTATCACTGGCAGTGGCGTTCCATCCTGACCAGTGGTCTTGTCTTAGTGAAGATGTTATAAACACAGAGATATCTAACTGTTCTCTCTCTCTCCATCAGGACTACCACTGGCAGTGGCGTTCCATCCTGACCAGTGGTCTTGTCTTAGTGAAGATGTTATAAACACAGAGATATCTAACTGTTCTCTCTCTCTCCATCAGGACTACCACTGGCAGTGGCGTTCCATCCTGACCAGTGGTCTTGTCTTAGTGAAGATGTTATAAACACAGAGATATCTAACTGTTCTCTCTCTCTCCATCAGGACTACCACTGGCAGTGGCGTTCCTTCCTGACCAGTGGTTTCACGGCCGTCTACTTCCTGGTCTATGCCATCCACTACTTCTTCTCCAAGCTCCAGATCACAGGATTGGCTAGCACCATCCTCTACTTCGGTTACACCATGATCATGGCTCTCATCTTCTTCTTATTCACAGGTAGGTAGCGGGGGTGGGGGGGGGTGGGGCATCATACTGTAGCTTGCCATGAAGAGTTTGGACCAGGTTGGAGGACAGAGGGTATCCTCATTAGTCCAGTTCAATGGACTGGACCAAATAGGAGCGTGCTTCCTCCAACCCTGCCCATCGTGCTGCCTGCCTGCCTGCCTGCCTGCCTGGGGTTTAGGTTGAGGTGCAGCTCTCTGTGTTTTGCCTGCACTGACACACAGACTCAGTCGGATGGTGGGATTGACAAATCGCCCGTGGAAAATGTGATTTTCATGTTCTCTCTCTCTCTCTCTCTCTCTCTCTCTCTCTCTCTCTCTGTCTCAGGAACGATTGGATTCTTTGCCTGTTTCTGGTTCGTCACCAAGATCTATAGCGTAGTGAAGGTGGACTGAGTAGTTCACCAAACACCAAACCAATGGACTGGACTTTCCTATTTTTTTCTCTCCCACGCCACGCCTCCCCTCCCCCAAAACCCTCACCCTCCCTGGTCTGGAGGGACACTATTGTTACATTACACCCTGGTTGCGTCCCAAACTGCACCCTATTCAGCGCACTTCTTTTGACCAGGGCCCACTGGTCTGAATAGGGAATAGGGTGCAGTTTGGAACAGAACCCTTGTCTACGTTACACCCTGTCTACTGTGTGGAAGACACATTTCAGTCAGAGCAGCGAGATGCCAGAGTCTTCCATTTCTCTCTGTGTGTGTGTGTGTGTACATTTATACAAATGGACTCTGAGTGCAGGAAATGAAACAACTGTTGGAAGTCCAGATCCTACAGCACATCAATGGAACATACATCCCTTATCTACCACTGAGAAATGCAATGGAAATAGGAAATCCAAAAATGTTGAAGGGTGGCTATTTTTAATACACACTGCTACAGTTTTGCTAGTAGACCTACCGTTACAGGAAGTGGAGTTTCTGTCCATGAACCCACGTTGGGCGTACTAAGGTGGTTTTACGTTGTCATTCAAACTCTTAATAGTGTTGGACAATATGATTGTAAATAACTATTTTTTTCTTCTAATGCTGACGAATGATTTGGGGTGGAAATAAGCTTAAAATGTGAAATGGTATTCCTCCTCTTACCCATGTTATGACAGAGGCTGGTGTAGTTTTGGAGTGTCTCCTCCTCTTACCCATGTTATGACAGAGGCTGGTGTAGTTTTGGAGTGTCCTCCTCCTCTTACCCATGTTATGAACAGAGGCTGGTGTAGTTTTTTGGGATTGTCTCCTCCTCTTACCCAGGTATGAACAAGGCCTGGTGGTAGTTTTGGAGTGTCTACTCGTACCCTGTTTATGACAGAGGCTGGTGTAGTTTTGGAGTGTCTCCTCCTCTTACCCATGTTATGACAGAGGCTGGTGTAGTTTTGGAGTGTCCCAAATGGTACTCTAGTCTACACTACAAAAGTAGTGCACTATGTAGGGAATAGGGTGCAAATTGGGATGAAACTGTTTTCTCTGGGGATTGTTTATTTTATTTTGTATTATAAATGCTTGAGTATTAATCAACTGGTCTGTTATTTAACTTATATTCAAATTACATTTTTTCTGTCTTTTCTTTATTTTATTTTTGCCTCGAAGACCCTCGTGCCTCATCAGTAGTTCATTTTATTTGCAAAAAACCAACGTGGGATTTTGTGAAAGGCATCGTTGATGTTTGTGTCCCAAACAGCACCCAATTCCTTATTTAGTGCACTACCTTTGACCAGGTCGGGTCATGAGTAGGGCTCTACATGGGGAATAGGGTGCTGTTTGGGACATCATCCATCGATCAGTTATGTGGGGATCTGATACTTATATCCTTTCAGTGTAAATATACTGTCTTCATAAATTATACTAGTTTCATTAGTCTGACCGAGCGGCCGGGTACCTTCTCTCTTTCACTGGTTTGAAATGATGTAATTACCATCTGGGGAAAAAGAGAAATGGTAGAAAATGTAAAATAAAAAAACCTTTTCCTGTTGGAGTGTGTTTTCCTGTGTCTTAATAGCGTAGTCAGTGTAAAGTATTGGACAACACAGTCAGGTGAGGTCGATACATTGAACCAGGGCTGAGGCGAGGCCCTGCTGTGGTGCCCACTAAGCTCAGGATGGCCTAAAGGTCACATAAAGTCAAGACCTTCTTTTCGATTGGCTGACATTTGTGAGACGGGATCGACGGGGAAGTTCCCCCACAGAGCCAGAACAGAGCACCTCATGGCCGAGGGAGGCTTGGTCTATGTGCTGGTACATTCATGTCATTGGTTTAATGATCCCAGTGTAAGTCTGGTTATAATATACAGTGTCTTGTCTACCGTGGTCAGTCTGGTTTAAATGGTTACAGTGGTCAGTCTCGATTATAATGGTCACAGTGGCAGTCTGGTTATAATGGTACAGTGGTCAGCTGTTATAATGGTCACATGGTCAGTCTGGTTTAATGATACAGTGGCAGTCTGTTATAATGGTCCACAGTGGTCAGCTGGTTATAATGTCACAGTGGTCAGCTGGTTATATGGTCACAGTGGTCAGCTGGTTATAATGGTCACAGTGGTCAGGCTGGTTATAATGATCACAGTGGTCAGTCTGGTTATAATGTCACAGTGGTCAGTCTGGTTATAATGGTCACAGTGGTCAGTCTGGTTATAATGGTCACAGTGGTCAGTCTGGTTATAATGATACAGTGTCATCTGTTAAGTGGTCAGTCTGGTTATAATGGTTACAGTGGTCAGTCTGGGTCAGTGCAGTCTGGTTATAATGGTCACAGTGGTCAGTCTGGTTATAATGGTCACAGTGGTCAGTCTGGTTATAATGTCACAGTGGTCAGTCTGTTATAATGGTCACAGTGGTCAGTCTGGTTATAATGGTCACAGTGGTCAGTCTGGTTTAATGGGTCTTTAACAGTGGTCAGTCTGGTTATAATGTACAGTGGTCAGTCTGGTTATAATGATCACAGTGGTCAGTCTGGTTATAATGATCACAGTGGTCAGTCTGGTTACAGTGGTCAGTCTGGTTATAATGGTCACAGTGGTCAGTCTGGTTATAATGGTCACAGTGGTCAGGCTGGTTATAATGGTCACAGTGGTCAGTCTGGTTATAATGGTCACAGTGGTCAGTCTGGTTATAATGGTCACAGTGGTCAGTCTGGTTATAATGGTCACAGTGGTCAGCTGGTTATAATGGTCACAGTGGTCAGTCTGGTTATAATGATCACAGTGGTCAGTCTGGTTATAATGGTTACAGTGGTCAGTCTGGTTATAATGGTCACAGTGGTCAGTGCTGGTTATAATGGTCACAGTGGTCAGTCTGGTTATAATGGTCACAGTGGTCAGTCTGGTTATAATGTCACAGTGGTCAGTCTGGTTATAATGGTCACAGTGGTCAGGCTGGTTATAATGGTCACAGTGGTCAGTCTGGTTATAATGGTCACTAAATGTCCGTGTCAGTGCTGGTTATAATGGTCACAGTGGTCAGTCTGGTTATAATGGTCACAGTGGTCAGTCTGGTTATAATGGTCACAGTGGTCAGGCTGGTTATAATGATCACAGTGGTCAGTCTGGTTTATCACAGTGGTCAGTCGTATTGTGTCAGTGTTATAATGTCACAGTGGTCAGGCTGGTTATAATGGTCACAGTGGTCAGGCTGGTTATAATGGTCACAGTGGTCAGTCTGGTTATAATGGTCACAGTGGTCAGTCTGGTTATAATGGTCACAGTGGTCAGGCTGGTTATAATGGTCACAGTGGTCAGTCTGGTTATAATGATCACAGTGGTCAGTCTGGTTATAATGGTTACAGTGGTCAGCTGGTTATAATGGTCACAGTGGTCAGTCTGGTTATAATGGTCACAGTGGTCAGCTGGTTATAATGGTCACAGTGGTCAGGCTGGTTTAATGGTCACAGTGGTCAGTCTGGTTATATGGTCACAGTGGTCAGCTGGTTATAATGGCGTCACATGCATGGTCAGTCTGGTTATAATGGTCACAGTGGTCAGTGCTGGTTAGGTTCAGTGTCACTGGTTAAGTCCAGTGGTCAGTCTGGTTATAATCCGGTCAGCTGTTAGTGGTCAGTCTGGTTTTATAATGGTTACAGTGGTCAGTCTGGTTATAATGTCACAGTGGTCAGCTGGTTATAATGGTCACAGTGGTCAGTCTGGTTATAATGGTCACAGTGGTCAGTCTGGTTATAATGGTCACAGTGGTCAGTCTGGTTATAATGGTTACAGTGGTCAGTCTGGTTATAATGGTCACAGTGGTCAGTCTGGTTATAATGTCACAGTGGTCAGGCTGGTTATAATGGTCACAGTGGTCAGTCTGGTTATATGGTCACAGTGGTCAGTCTGGTTATAATGGTCACAGTGGTCAGTCTGGTTATAATGGTCACAGTGGTCAAGGCTGGTTATAATGGTCACAGTGGTCAGTCTGGTTAAATGTCACAGTGGTCAGCTGGTATATGGTCACAGTGTGCTGTTATAATGGTCACAGTGGTCAGTCTGGTTATAATGTCACAGTGGTCAGGCTGGTTATAATGGTCACAGTGGTCAGTCTGGTTAGTCATGCATCTGGTTACAGTGGTCAGTCTGGTTATAATGGTTACAGTGGTCAGCTGGTTATAATGGTCACAGTGGTAAGGCTGGTTATAATGGTCACAGTGGTCAGGCTGGTTATAATGGTCACAGTGGTCAGGCTGGTTATAATGGTCACAGTGGTCAGTCTGGTTATTATGATCACAGTGGTCAGGCTGGTTATAATGGTCACAGTGGTCAGTCTGGTTATAATGGTCACAGTGGTCAGGCTGGTTATAATGGTCACAGTGGTCAGTCTGGTTATATGTCACGTGGTCAGTATGGTTATAATGGTTACAGTGGTCAGCTCGTTATAATGATCACAGTGGTCAGTCTGGTTCATGTAGTCGTATTGTTCACGTGGTCAGCTGGTTATAATGGTCACAGTGGTCAGCTGGTTTTAATGGTCACAGTGGTCAGTCTGGTTATAATGGTCACTGTGGTCAGTCTTGTTATAATGGTTACAGTGGTCAGGCTGGTTATAATGGTCACAGTGGTCAGTCTGGTTATAATGGTTACAGTGGTCAGTCTGGTTATAATGGTCACAGTGGTCAGTCTGGTGTTAATGGTTACAGTGGTCAGTCTGGTTATAATGGTCACAGTGGTCAGGCTGGTTATAATGGTCACAGTGGTCAGGCTGGTTATAATGGTCACAGTGGTCAGGCTGGTTATAATGGTCACAGGGGTCAGGCTGGTTAAAATGGTCACAGTGGTCAGTCTGGTTATAATGGTTACAGTGGTCAGGCTGGTTATAATGATCACAGTGGTCAGGCTGGTTATAATGATCACAGTTTTCAGGCTGATTATAATGGTCCCACTAACATCTGTTGAGCTGTTCTGACCCTTCACCT